AATTGAGCCAGGCTGATACCCTGAGGAGAGTAATTAAACTGGAAAATCCACACCAAATGGCCAATTCCCTCCCTTTTCATCATGGCGTCGTATTTCCCCTTCCACACTGCTGGCATACCAAACATTGAGCAAATGTGGTCACCATTAGAGTGCCAGGGCATGTTTCCATCATTAAACATCCTCACTGCACTAGATGAATATGTCCTCTTCACTATCCTGCATGCGCTCCCCGTATCTCACACAATCATAGAAATTTATAGCACAGAAGGAAACCATTCAGTCCACCGATTCATTCAATCTCAGTGCCAGTTCAGATTGGAATATACTTACTAGGAAACCTTGGACATATTTTAAATAAGATTTTTTTTCAAAAAGCCCCAACATACTCTTGCTTCATAACTATATTGATGCTTGAACTGCAAAACCACGCATCACTGGTGAAAATAGTTCTTGCAGCTTATCACTCCAGCAGCAACCCAACACAGGCTCTTGGGTCCCCAAGCCTTGGCTCTTGTCAACTCGCACCAAGTTTTGGTGGATTAGGTAATCAGGATGAGTCCCCCTGGAGAAAGCAAGTGTGCATTCCATACCGACATAAGTGCAAACCATGCATATGTAAGACTCTCAATGCTTTTGTTTTGTTTGGAGACACTTATAGTAATGGATTTCTGCTTGTGTCAGATCCCTAGTTGATCAAAACAAAAATCTGACAGCATTCATTGCAAAGGGATACTGCATTACAAAGAATGGTTAAGTGTCAGCACAACAACCTCACTGGAAAAGCCTTCATGCTCAAACTATCAACCAGTATAACTGTTTTGGTTACATTAGTTGATTTACAAAATAGTATGATAAATAAATGAGGATTGATATTTTACCTAACTTCCACAGAAACTAGCGGCTTTAGTTTTATTACATGTGTATTTGTTGGCATATGAATATTTCTCAGTGGGTCACTGCCTCTGTGCATATGTTTATATGTGTGTAGCCTCTGCTTTACTCAATTTGTGTGCTTCCTTGGCTGTGTGTCTATATATGGGTGTGGAACTATATTTGTGTACGTAACTGTGTGTTTTTCCAAGTCTGTGGGCTGATGTGAAAATTTAAATGACGTGAAATTGAATTAAAGCGCTCCAAAACGCTGTCCAACGTGAAGAGTGCTATATAAATGCAAATTATTGTTGTTGAATTACACTAATTTAGTTTTAGGACTACAGCAGTCTATGACATCCCTGGAAAGCCTGGTCGCATACAAATAACTACTCACTCCCACATGGTAGGATGTGGCCCAATTATGTCTGGTACAATGAGTGCAGAACAGTTTCTGATGCTAATAACATAGTAGTCCATGTTTCAGTGAACAAGAAGACATAAAGGAGGATGTTGAGGGGGTGGGTGTGCCTTGCTTGCTGAGATCTCATAGTCTTGAGAAACAGGAAATGATTGATTTGGAGTAGGAAGTAATGCAGTGAGTTTTTAGAACTTGCTGGAGTACGATTCCAAGAGGAATCACATCACAGTACAGTGACAGAACAATGGTTGAGTCCTTGTATGAAGTGATGTAAAATCTATGTGGGCAATGCAGAAGTGCTAAAGAAGGGTACCAAGCAGAATCAAAGTCAGTGGTTCCCAAAACAACAGAAGCATTGAAGATAATACAGGAACCAAATAGATCTGCAATAAAACAGGAGAAATGCTATACTTTTCAGAAGCCATGAATAGTTGAGGTTGAAATGTGGGCTCCATTTTATTTAACTATTGCATGACAGCATGGCTCTGTAGGCAGAATTCTTGCCACTGGGTCAGAAAATTGATTGGTCAAGCTTCAAATTCGATCTGTACTGGGAGAACGTAGCATTGCAGAGATGTTGTACTTCAGTGATCTTAAAATAGAGTTCCCACCTGCCTGTTCATGTGTTTGTTGAAGGTCCAAAATACTATTCAAAATTAGAAGGGATTTTTTCCCCAGTGCCTTGGTAAACAATGCTCTAAATTGACTGCTGAGTTTGTCTAAAAACTAACAGTTACTAGACTTGACTGGCATTACCTGTGTTTTGATGTCATAAGCATTTTTAAAAATATTATATTGTTCTATTGCCATGGGCATTTCACAATTTCATAAACTTTTCAAGGAGTCAATGTGAAAAATAGGAAATCGAAACTTACCACAACACAATGCCTTGGAGAATAGAGTCTTTAAAGAGGGTTAGATATACCAAGGTGAAATCGATGGAAATGTGTCCTGGGCTTTCTAAAGAATTGATGTGATCTTCAGACTATTCTGAGAACAGTTGAGAACTACTATGATAGATAGCTTATCAGAAAAGCCAACAGGATTACATGGTCCAGGATTGTCAGTGAAATATTTCACATTGTTATCTTTTGACATTATGCTCAGCAAAGAGTAATGGTTATTTAGAGGGTCTTCTTCTTAAAGCATAGCATTTAGAATGCTCCCTATTGTAATCTACCAAGCATCTGGTAAAATCTCTACAATGCACCCAGGATTCTTCCTCCCACTTAATCATACACAGGTCGATCAAAACACAAAGCACTTGGGCAGAAGTGTACAACAGGTTTAGTTTTGTCTAATTGCCATAGCTTTACTAGATTCAATTAGTTTCTTTAGTTTCTAGCTGCATTATAATATTGATATACTCGCGGTAGTTAAATATGGTGGCAATAAATGCTCCATGTTCCTACAAATACTAAGGGACACGGTGAGAGGGCGGGGAAGTGGGATTAGGAGGCTATGTACTATGTAGGCAACAGATTGATTGCTTGTGATCTCCATTTACCATATGACCTTCTCCTATTCATCGCTTCCATGCTTCTACGATGTTCAATATGATAATTAGAACACCGAATATCGTATTTTCCTTGGGAGGGAGGGGAAATAGGATATTTATTTTAATTGTCCTATTTCACAATTAATTATCTGTTAACAGAGTCTGTTTGCTCTGGCTATATCATAATGCTGAGATCCCACACCCCCACACCCCCACTCCACCCATGGGAGAAAGTTGTGACCTATGGATGCCATCCAAACAGGAGGAGAGCAGAGAGTGTAGCTTTTCTTTTCATTTTGACCATTAAAAGTATTTACTAAGAAACTTAAGATAGACATTACAACAGATTTACTCTATTTATGTAACATTTCACAGAATCCAGAATTTGGCAAATTGTTGAAATCAGATAGATGTAACTTTGAAGGCAGAGAACTTACAAAAAAAATTCTAAATTGAGACTGCATTTAAGAAATTATCAAAATTCTGGAATCCCTGAAATGCTAAAAAAATAAAATCCAGAAATCTGGCAATTCTAGAACCAGGTGGAATTTGTACCTATTTTTTAACTTTCATCATGTTGCACATAGCAATAAAGCCCATGTAAATGAAATTCTGAGATGGAATAAGCAAATGGTTGCGATAAATAAATTATTTGCTATTAATAGGAAAAGCAGTCTAAGCTGACACTCCGGTATAGTACTAGGGGTGGGCTTTATTGTCAGAGGTGGATATTGTTGTTTGGGTGAAATATAAAATTAAGATCTTATTTCAGGTCCCCTCTCTATTCATGTTTATGATAAAGATCCCACAGCACCATTCAAAAAGAGAACAATAATTTACAATTATACAGAATCCTTCACAAGGCTAATGTCTCAGAGCGTCTTAGAAAAGAGAATTTCTCCTGGTGTCCTGGCCAACAATCCTCTAGATAAATTGATCATTCATTCCATAACTGTTTCAGCAGTCTGAGATGCTACCTTGGGTGAAGGGCATTATTTAAACGCAAGTTGTCATTGTTGTTTGTGGCCCTTCCAGTCACAAATTGGCTGCTGCATTGCATAAGTATCAGGTTACTACACTTAATTGCAAATAGCTATGAAGTGCTTTGAGACATGTTAACATTGTATGTGCTTTGTTAAATGTAAGGATTATTATTCTCACAGCCAACACCAACATTTGAGTAAGATTTGCAGGATAGAGATCCAGACATGGTTTCTTTTTCACCGCCAAGAACAGAGTATGAGGCTAATTGTCAGATGTCATTGCTGTCTGTGAAATCAAACTTGTAACCATTCTGATGTGCATGACTTCATACCAAACCATGTGTTGCATTTATGGACTGAAGCATTGGAAGAATTACATCTTCAACATTTCCTATCTGGCGTCACTGCAGATTATCCTGTAATGACCTCTTTCAATGGCTTAGTTGGTAAACCACTGTCCATTTTGAAACTGAGTCCTGCATTCTCAGAACAGCTCAATTATAATCTCTACCCTGTGCTGAGTTAACTGTTCTTAGCTGTAGCAGCAATTAGATCGCTGCAATTAACAACAACAACAAGAAGATTACATTTGTATAGCGCCTTTCACGTCGGGAGGACGTCCCAAGGCGCTGGAACCTCAAGACAAGAGGTTAGAGAAGGTAAAATAGCTATCCAGCACCCCCTTCTGGATAGCGTTTCACCCAAAAAATATACAGTCAATTCCCATTACAATATATCCTGTGAAAAGCTTTGAGACATCTCAAGACGTGATAAGATGCTTATATTAAATCCAAGGAATATTGTTATTATAGATCTAACGTAACAACAACAATTTACATTTATATAGCAGCCTTCACATGAGGTAGCATCTCAGAGCACTTTAAGGACATTGGAGGGACATGACAAGGATTGGCTGTGATAACTTTCCTCAGTTAACTAGCCTGCTGACACTCATTACCAGGGGAAACAGGATGGTCACTTATTTGGTGTATTAGAGGGCAAAAGATACCAATGGAACAGGAGTCCAGAATCAATGAGAAGAGAGAACGGGAGAAATTGAAACGGAAAATACGAATGTTGACTTTTGAGGGGGTAAATTCTAAAACAAGTTCGCTTTGAAAATGATATGTCATTTCAACTAACCATATCAATGGCTACTTACTGGTTTAATAATTGAAAAATATTATTTTTCATATTTGAAACTAAAAAGATTTTTTCGGTATTGCAGGCAGTATCGTGTATGTCGGCATGATGTTGGGGGCGTTTTTCTGGGGCGGATTAGCAGACAAGATGGGTCGACGGCAATCTCTCATCATCTGCATGTCCCTCAATGGGTTCTTCGCTTTTCTTTCATCCTTCGTCCAGGGTTATGGACTCTTCCTCTTCTGTCGATTCTTCGCTGGATTTGGGTAAGATTGGCTGGCTTGTTATTCCATCTCCTACTAAGGTTTTCATTCCCCGAACGCTGGCAAGCTGTCACTTAAACAGAAGTGTAATATGTGACAATTTCTAATGGGATCCCTTATTATGGAAAGTAGAAGGATGTCATGCTGTCATGTTGGAACTCCATATGAAACAATCTATTTTGAAGCAGTGTGAGTGAGTGACATATATTTGTTCAGGTGATATAAAAATTCTCATGGCACGAGTCAAAGAGAGAAGGGTGTTTCTCCCAGTGTCCCCGGCCAACAGTCTCCTGATAAAATTGACCATTAACCTTCTGACTGTTTGTTGGTAGTTGTTGTGTGAAATTGGCTAATGTGTTCGCCTATAAATACAAAGTTACATCACTTTACAGTGCAATCCTGTGAAGCACTTTGTGACATTTTAATAGTGTGATAAGGCATAGTATCAAATGCAATGATCATTATTATTACATTTGATTACTGGAAGGAGGTTTCACGCAGAAATTCAGTGAGAAATTAGCCCCTATAGTACAAGCAGTATCTCATTAAAATTCATGCCTATTGTTGCCTATAAAAATCTGAGTAAGGAATTCCTTTGCTGGAATAAAACAAGGTCCACCTCGAAAAAAAGGACACTTAAGCAGTCCATGATGTTATACGCTTTGAGAAGGCACAAGGCCTTTGAACCACTTTTTCCTCAATTGCCATTGCCTAAATATTGGTACCGGATCTGGGAAAAAAGATCAGGAACAAGTTATCTGACAGTCACTCTCTTTTCCTGGCCTCCACTTTTGTTATTTAGGTATTAGATCATATTGAAAATTATGTTAAATGATAGTCAATTGCATACAGGTGTGTGGGTTGCGGATTGAGTGACCAAATTATTATTTATTTATTTTGGAGGGGATTTTATTCCTCAGGAAAGCGATCTGCCAATTGACTAAAACACAAGTTCGCACTTACTGCAGGGTAAGCAGAGGGGTATAGAGTAAGAAAACTTGCCTAAGATTTCGCCCTGACCAGGAATCGAGCCAGGGTCCACTCGCTTGCGAGGCGAGGCTCTAAATAATGTGCTATGGGACTCCACAGAAATGCCATTCTCCTTTCTAGTAGTGCCAAGTTATCTTTAACACCCATCTATACAGCCAGACCAGACCTCAGGTTAATGTCTCATTTGAAGGATGGTAACTCGAGCAAAGCATTACACGTAGACTGTGAACTCAAACATCTTAAGACCTGAACTTATAACAACAAAAAATTACATTTGTATAGCACCTTGCACATCGGGAGGACGTCCCAAGGTGCTGATACGTTTATAACCTTCAGATTCAGAACAAGAGTACTACCATTTGAGCCAGGCTGACACGTGGGAGAGAAGTGAATAAAACATAAAGTACAGAATATAATTGCAAGAATTTCTTGAACATTGTTAAAAGTCCTGTGATGGAACAAACATGTATTCCCTCAGAGGTGGGGGTGATATTGTTGATACATTTTGCTTACTGTAAAACCATTTAAAGTAAATTTCAGATTGATTCCGTATGTGTTTGCAGCAAATCATTACAGTGAATATATATATCTGGGGAAATGCACCTTGGGGAATTGCATGTGCACTTAAGCATATTAGAATTGTGATGCATTGAGTGTGTGCCTTGAAGTTGACATCAGATTATGTTGTGCAGTGCTCCTGCTAATGCACCAAATTTGTGCTGCAGTCTGTTGTTACAATCTAACAAGTATTGTTTTTAATTTTAAGTGTTCACATATCCCAACATCCCAGCCATCTGCTGGCCCAATCCCTCACAGTCCTCCCTCCCTCCGTTTTGATCATTTTCCAGCTCACCCCATCCTATTCTACCATCCAGTGGAGAAACTATTTACACTGGTGGGTGGGCCAGTAACCGGAGGACACCGATTTAAAATAGTTGTTAAAAGAAACAGAGGGGAGGTGAGGAGAAATTTTTTCACACAGCGAGTTGTTCGGATCTGGAATGCATTTCCTGAAAGCGTGGTGGAATCCGATTTGATAACAACTTTTAAGAGAGAAGTAGATAATTATTTGGGGAGGACAAGTTTGCAGGGCTATGGGGAGAGAGCGGAGGAGAGGGATTGAATTGGAAGCTCTTTTCAAAGAGCCAGCACAGACACGATGGGCCAAATGGCCTCCTTCTGTGCTGTATAATTCTATGATTCTATGATACCCCTCCAAGCCTATCTCCATTCCTAGCCCATATCCTTTCGGCGAAACCTCAGGCAAGTTTCCTCACTCCACACGCTTCTGTTTACCTAGCATTAAGAAGAAATCCGGCTGTTAGCCAATTGGCGGATCACTTTCTGGAGATAATAACTGCTTTAAATAAATAAATAAACAAACAAACAAACAAACAAACATTCACTTTAGAATATATACTCTGAAGCGCTTTGAGTTGTCTCAACTACATGATAAGGTGCTATATCAAATGCAAGGATTAATATTATTATCCGTACCAGCCAACCACCCATCCACCCCAACTCCCACCTTTCACCTTATTATCTCATTCACCCAACCCAGCCCACCTCCCATTCATCCCCTCTCCCAGCCTGACATACCTGTACACCACCTGTTATTTAGTCCATTGACTGCTTCCATTTCTAACCCACTTTTGCTCCCAATCCACACTCATTCCACTTCCACTTTCGCTAACACTCCCATGCCCACTCTACCTCCACTTCTGCAACTTCACTCCCAACCTGCCACATTCAATATCATCCAAGCAAACAGTGCTGGCATTAAAATACTCTGCTCTGCGTACTTTGACAAATGCAAAATTTACAACAGATTGGCGCTTAATGGCCTTTAACAAAAGCTTGATGAGCTTCAGTTCCTGTTTTTATTTGTTGCAGGCAATAAAAAAATTTCAATGCTAACATTTGAAGAGTTGAATTTTTACACTAACGCCTTATTCCCACTATCAATTACATTGCTTGCCAAGGTCAGAGTACCATTCTGTAACGGAGGGTTATCATGCCCAACGTAAAAAATCCGGCATGCACTAAAAATTATATCTCATAAATCAAGGACCAGGGATCAAGGATTTTGCCAGCACTGCATGAAGATCTACATAATAATCCTTGCCTTTGATACAGCTCTGTTCATATCAGGAGGACGTCTTAGGCAATTCACATCATTTACTGTAAAGTGTAGTGATTGTGTATTTGTAGGCGAATGTTGCAGTCATTTTGGACACAGCAATCAATGTCTCACAAACAGCTATGAAAGGAATGACTAATTTAATCTGGGAAATTGTTAGCTTGGAGACGAGATTTCAAATAGTGCCTGAGGATCTTTAACTTCTACCTGAATAGGCAAACAGTACCTCGGTTTAATGTCTCATCTGAAGGATGGCACCTCCAGCAATGCAGCAATATATTGAATTGTCAGCTTGGGCTGCCAGCACTGTAATGAATTGTCAGCCTAGGCTGTGAGTTCAGCGTTCCGAGGTGGTGCTTGAACCCACAACCTTCTGACTCAGAGTTGAGACTGCTGCCAACTGAGCCAGGCTGACCCCTGCAATGGCTGATGGGAGAAATTCCCATGCAGGTAATCTGAAGAGAAATTAAATAATGCATTTTAGGGAGTCAAAGCGAAACTGTAACAGTAAAAAAAATGTCATTCTTAATGAGATAAGGCGCATCATCAAATGCAAGTATTATTCTATTTATTTATTTGTTTGCTTGTTTGTTTGTTTGTGTAGATATTTATTTATATATATTATGTGAACACAAGGGCATGATTTCATGATGTAACTGCAATGCGGTGGAGATTGAAAAACTGAAATGATCAAAACTCCCAGTTGTCAAAAAACTTGAAATAAAAACAGAATTCACAAAGATGCCTGCTGCTCGCTGGAGCTGTGACATAGAATCCTTTCCTATATTGTAGTGTTCAAAGTTGTAATTCCAAGGCTGAAGAGGCTATTATTTCATATTTAGAATACCCACACTGCGAGTTGCTAAGATGCAAAAGGTTCACTGAATGTTTAGCCACTGCACACAAAAGTGAGGCACTCAACACAGAGAATCACATCATTATTCAAAGTTTCTCGTTCCCAGCAATGTGCTAACCTCATGGAAGTGTCTCCACATTTGTGATGTAAGCTACATTGTTTTCATATTGAGTGTCTCTTTCAGAGCCTGATTTATGCATTTCATTATCCAGTGTAGGTCAGGCCCTTGAGTGATCCTCTGTCTATAAGCATACATTTTTAAATCTCCAACTCTCCTTCAATGTGTCTTATTTGGCACCTTTCCTGCTCCATTGAAATTTTTATATCCTTCTCTCCTGCAAGGACTGACTCATATTGGCTGCCCTCGGCTACCTCACTGAAATAGCCATTTTCATGTTTGAGTCTAGACAATGAATGTTATCAAGCTGTGAGGCTGTGGGCACATCACAGCAAAGACTGATCCTCCCCTTACCCTTTGGAACAGAGATGACTTGATATTGATCAGATGTGGGAGTGCTGCCTGCTTTTTTCTTCTCCCGAAACCCAGGGGCATTGAGATTACTGAGCATCCCAGTAATATCCCAGCACAGAATACTGGATAGAAGATGTGGGAATTCTGCTTACACATCAAAAGGAGAATATAAGCAAGACAATTCCACTGAATATAAATATCTGTGAACAAACCATTCTCTGTGGATGTGCTACGGATTCCAACTTCACAATCCTGTGCACTAACCATTATTGGAATATTATTTTAAAAGAGAGTAAGTGAGAATAAAAAAATGTTTGTGTGTAATTGACAGAGATCTGGATAAGACATTAACTGTATCTCTTTGTAAACCTCACCTCAAATTCAGTAAATCGTCCGTGACAATTCTTTTATTATAGTGCATTCTATCAACCCTGGAATTAGTTAAGTATTTTAGTCATTTATCTAAATATTGACAGTTCTAATTCGACAAAATGAGAGAGGTTATTGATAATTTGTCTCTTAAATGGAGAAAGAAAGCCAACATTTTTTTTAGTGTCCGAATCTGGATTGGTCCATGTGGAAACTTGCACACCGCACTGTCTCTCCAAAAGGTTATTTTTGCGGGTAACTGAAATAACTCCCCGGTCAGCTTAGAAAGTGCAGCAGCTATGAAGGGCATTCAATAAGGCAAAGCCAGATGCAAAATTGTGGTAAATTTAAATGACAGATCTCCTCATACCTATGGGAATTTCCTGTAAAATGTATACAAGTACATTTTTCAATGAGAATGCAGTAGGTAGCACAAGGACATCTTAAAAATATAAGGTAATTTTATGATTCAGAGTTCTATAGGGGCAGAGAGTGAATTGATTCTGTGTATTTATGTGTGAAAGAGGAAGGTGAGTTTCTGAAAGCTTGCAAATGTTAAATATTTTGTCTGAGATGATGCACCAGAGATTCATGGCATTAAAGAATTCCACTGAGTCAGAATAATGCAGCATTTGTGATATAATGCCTCACTGGGAGTCACTGCACTCATCCTATAATTTGGGCTTTACAATCAGTGATAACATAATTACATTCACGTGCAAGAGAAAACAATGAGGTGTACAATTAATTGTACCTTTTCCCTGAAGCCTAACCTCAGTATGTGTCTCGTTTTGATAACCCAGGATTGGAGGAGCAGTTCCAGTGGTATTCACCTATTTTGCTGAGGTCCTGGCTCGGGAGAAGCGTGGGGAGCACTTGAGCTGGCTCTGCATGTTCTGGATGATCGGAGGGATCTATGCATCGGCCATGGCTTGGGCCATCATCCCTCACTACGGTAGGACAACAAGAGCATGAATGGCCTGCAGTCACCTAAATGCTGCACACAGTGCTGGATGTTTTGTGTGTCTGCATGAGTTGAGAGGTATGAGGGGGGGGATTGGGGGTGGGGAGATGTGGAGTGGATGAATCAGGCTCCTAAGAGAAACAATGATACTCTTTCAGGGAACACATTCAAAAAATATGTATATTCTTGGGAACAGTTTTGGAGGTTACAGGTTATGGTTATAGATGCAATAGTGCTCACAGCATATTTCCTCAGTTTGGAAACGGGTGCTTCTTAAGACCTGTAGAAGCTAGTTTCTACAGGTCTTAAAAAGCTCTAATTTCCAAACTGAGGTTGAACTTAGAACAATTCTACATAGTCTTAAACATTTAAGACAAAATGATCTTCTAGTAGGCATTCTGCATACATGCTAGCCTTCAAAATAGACAGTCACTACGCTTTGCAGTAAATCTTATCAAGTGCTTTGAGATGTCTTTCTGATGTGAAAGGCACTATATTAAATGTAAGGATTATTATTTTCATTATCTTACATTCAATAGAATTTCGGTCTACGGAAGTCATGTTCCATGCATCCTTAGCAGCTTGTTGCATAACACAGCTTTTCAAAAGCAATGAGTGGAATTTCTCTCCTTTAACGTAGAAGAGAGAAAGGAAGGAGGCCTAAAGGCACATTTTCAGTCAGTTGTGAAACATGACGGTAATTTTGTTTGGTGGAATGGGAATTGGACTGAAAGCACTGAACCCTTGTTATTTAGGACCCCTTAAAAGCCACCAGAGAACAGAGCCTTTCATGCCTTCCTTCTGAGCTGGATTTCAAATCGTGCCCCAGAGGTGAAGGGATAGTCCCTAACCTAGTGTGTAATCCTCTTGCTTTGATGGTACTCTTCCACTTAGCATGCGACATGCCGTAATTGATTATCCACACGCTATTGCCTTTGTGTTATTTTACATCTGAATTATAGTCAATTCCACTGGATTGAAATACACACAAAATCAAATGCTAAGAGCTAGACCATTTCCTTTGTAATGTATTGTTCATTATTTTCGGCCTGTAGAGAAGCTCAGAAAGTAATAATTCTTGTAAGATTTAGCAACCAGGAGAGCGGGGAGCTCAGCACCTCCCTCCCACCCAGGCAGATGGTGGCAGCTTTAAGTCCAGAGCTACTTGTCGCTTGAGCTCATTATCTCCACCGGGAATGACATTTGCAGCTTTCAATCAGGTCACCAGTTACAGCCCCTTACTGTACAGGAACAGCAGCAAAAACAACCAGGCCACTTGTCTTGGTTTGGGCTGCTAGATGGATCAGTGAGCAGAATTATGGAAGCCATGGGATAATGTGTGTCACCGTCTACTTTGTTCTCCCAGCTGAACAAGGCTGCAGGAATGTATGGCTTGTTTCAGAAGTGCAAAGATAAAATATTAACTAAGGGATATAACCCCTCCCCTTTTGAAAAAAAATAATGGAACATACTCATGGATAGAAAGAACCATTTGGAAATTCCTGGGAGAGGAACACAAACTACATTGCACCAAGTTTTATGTTTAAAGGGACTGGCCAACTTCACCAAAGTCAAAATTGGTTGGAATTGGCCGTTTTATTCTTTTCCCAGTTTTCTCCACTCCTATCCAGAAACAGTTTCATGTGTCCTGGCTGTCCTACTATAACTTACCTGATCTTCCATCAAATGCTAAACAGTGTTATGAACCATGAGAGGAAGGGAGCATTTTGTTCTCACTGAACATTGACAAACAGTAACTTTCCAGTAGAGGTTACTAGGCAATGAGGGTGAGTTTTCCTATATCTAGCTCGGGCACATGAGGAAAATCATAGCATTCATATTGCTGAGATAAACTAAACTTAGCACACGCAAGGGACCGAACATGGGGCCTTCTGGCCTACATGATTCAATCTCGTACCAGCTCGGGCATTCACCCACTGACTTACGTTTTTTCATACTGAACCTCTTGCTATTTTCACAGTTGCTTCACCTCACGTTGCTTGTCAGAGTGTTGACACCTAGTTTTCTGGGACAGGTGCAGGTCATGGTGCAAAATGCAAGTGCTCCAAGCGACTGATTTTTTGCAGTGTCAGCAATGCAGTCAGTGTAATGTGGCAGTAAAATAAAGGAAGGGAAAACCCAACACATCAGCTGAAAGAAAAAACAAGCTCTTTCAAGACAAGATATGAAAGCGCAGAATGTACAAAATTGAAGTGATCCACTAAATAAATGTCTTTTAAAATGAGATCTAGGAGGTAAAAAGAGCCTGAGCCATATTAAAACATTTCTAAAAAGTAGCTAATACATAAAGAGGGTTGGTGAGAATGAACTCGAGATAAATCACATTATTTCAGTCAAGTGAAAGCTTCCTATAGGTTTCATACATCATCTCTTCCTGTTGAAAATATCCCTGTCGAATACTTTTCATTTCATTCTTTTTAATAATTTGGGAGAGGAAACTGTTGTTTTGTATCCAACAGTATGTCTCACCTGGAGTTTCGGCACTAACCCAAACTGGAGAAAAAGAACCTGAGCCATATTAAAACATTTCTAAAGATTAGTTAATACATAAAGAGGGTCGGTGAGAGTGAACTCTAACTACCAGCCCATCTCCAGCCTCCCTTTTCTTTCAAAGGTCCTTGAAAGAGTCGTTGCTTCCCAGCTTCGCTCATTTCTCTCCTACCACTACCTTCACGAGCCCCTCCAATCCGGTTTCCTTGCTGCTCACAGCGTGGAAACTGGATCAGTCAAGGTGACAAATGACATTTTGTCCATCTGTGACCAGGGCTTCCTCTGCCTCTTCATCCTCCTCGATCTCTCTGCTCCCTTCGATACCATGGGCAACTCCATCCTCCTCCAATGCCTCTTCTCTCACCTCAATCTTCAAGGTTCTGTCTTTGAATGATTCAGGTCTTATCTCTCAAAATATCTCCAATTTGTCTCTGCCAATGGCTTCTCTTCTAGCCCCTGCAAAGTCTCACGTAGTGTTCCTCAGGGTTCTCCTCTTCAACCTCTACATGCTCCCCCTTGGTGACATCATCTGCAGACATGGGGTCAACTTCCACATGTACGTGAATGACACCCAACTCTATCTCTCTGCCTCCACTCTCGATTCCAGGACAAATGACGTCCTGACAGACTATCTGTCTGACATCAAATCCTGGATGACAGTCAACTTTCTACAGCTGAATGTCAGCAAGACCGAGGCCCTCTTGATTGGCTCACACCAGTACCTTAGCACCTCAGGCACTGGCAGCATTAGCATCCACGATTGCACACTCCACCTCACCGAGCCAATTAGGAACCTGGGCGACTTGTTCGACCCTCAACTGCCCTTTCTCCCCCATATCCCTGCCATGACCCGCTCTGCTTTCCCCCACCTCCACAACATTGCCCGACTTCACCACTGCCTCACCCCTCAGGCTACCGAAACCCTCATACACGCACGCATTCGTCGCCTCAAGGCTCAATTACGGAAACTCCATCCTTGTCGGCCTCTCCAACTCTTCCCTCCACAAGCTGCAAATCATCTAGAACTCTGCAGCTCATGTTCTCTCCTGCATCAGGCTCTGTGACCCCATCACCTCCACCCTCGCCGGCTCCACTGGCTCCCATCCCTAAGAGGATAGAATTCAAAATTCTTGTCCTCACTTTCAAGGCCCTCCACAGCCTTACCCCCACCTACATCTCTGACCTATTGACCCCTATCAACATGTCTGCTCCCTCCGCTCAACAGGCTCCGGCCTGCTGCAGGTCTCCCAAGGTGTTGGACGGTTAAGGGTTTGCTCCTGGCCTGATCTGAAGGTTGGAATCAAGAGGGGTTGGAATCAAAAAGCAATCTTGAGATGGGCCTTGAAGTTGGCAAGGGAGAGGCTGAGGTGAAGGGATTCTGGGATGGATTTCCAGAGGGTGAGTGCAGAAAAGCTGAATGCTCGACCGCTAATGGTGAGGTGGGCAGGGTGGGGGACATAAAGCAATTAAATAGAGAAGTCAAAACAGCGGAGTTAACTAGGTTAGCCTCCTGATCTTTAGTTATGTTATGTTATAGGATTTCCCATTATCATTATTGAGGAAAAGATAATAATAATAATCCTTGCATTTGATATAGCGCTTTTCACGTCTTCTAGATGTCCCAAAGCGCTTAACAGAATATACTGTAAAGTGAATTGACTGTATATTTGATACCTAGTGTTAGTGATCAATGTGCTATTAGATCTCCTAGGACAACAACAGCAACAATTTACATTTATGTAATGTCACTCTTGTCAAAAAGATGTCTCATTGTGCTTCATGTAACTTCTTCCCCGTTAACACATAGGGAGCGAAAAATGTAATAAAATAATCTTTTTTGAATACAGAAGGAAAACTGAATTGAAAGTTGATCATAAAAGGATATTTTCCAAGTCATTGGTGAATAGTATCCTGCTGCTGGTTAGTTTATTGCTCTTGCCTTTTGCCCAGTGGAGATTTTATTGGGGTTAACAGAGAATTTATTTTTCTGATTGTCAGAGATGTATTGGAACACCTTACCAGGTGGTCAAATTTCATGCTGCTTTAGTGCACTACTGTCAGGATCTATCATTGAGTGAGTTTCTCTTTATTGTACTGGGGCTATGTGGATGGACAGACTCCTGACTCAATCACAGATTCTCAACAATACAGAGGTCTCTCTACATGCTTCATCAAAGAGGTATTTTCAATCTTGTCAGGAATAATTTATGTACCAGAGAGCAGAGCTGGTGGTGACTAAGGTCAGTAGTTAATGAAATTAGGTCCTTAAGTTGATGTCACATGAGAGGATTGACCTTTGCCCTGTCTCAGCAAGTTATCTTACTTGTGTTAAGTTAATTCATGGCTTTACCAATTGATTGGAATGAGTTCAAGGGAATGAATGTAGTATCCTTTGCTCACAAATTTCGCCCACAAATATACAGTCAATTCACTTTACAGTCTATTCTGTGAAGCACTTTGAGATGTTGAGAAGAGGTGAA